GACAAAGACATATGCGCACATAGAAACACATGTCCTAGAAAAATCAAATGCACAGACACAAACATAAACATAGACACAGCAGCAAACAAAAACGTTTATGTTTACACACAGAAATACATACAGGATAGATAGATAGATAGATAGATAGATAGATATTCCTGAAAATGTGTTTGCAAACGCACTTAGTGGTATACACATCACCATGTATATCCAAACACATTTTTGTAAATTTGCATATACTTAAAGTTGCACACACTTACCCACTGTATACTTCCATGAGCAAACAAGAACAAGCACAAAACAGAAAAGCAGACAGAAGAATAAACAGAAACTCTAATGTAAGTATAAGCATACATACATGTCTATACTATAATTTCATGGCGTTTATATAATTTCATGTTTATATGAAAAAATACTCAACACAAATTCAAAGTTGCATATTTTTTTTTTATTCTCAGCTTGACTATTTCAGCTACAATTCGCTGGCTTTAATTAACGACAATTCACTATGTAGTAAATATACCCAGAAAGTTAAACAAACAGATATCAACAAGTGTTTTCAAAATAATATTTTATATATATATATATATATATATATATATATACATACAAAAATTACACAACATGCATTAAATAGCAACAGATATTTAAGTCATGCATTGCAGGAAGTTATTCAAATTTGAAGCACAAAAACATCAACATCCCACCCCCCCAGCTATTATAAATAATAACGACAACAGGGGCTGTTTTTAAATTCAACAACAAAAATCCTCTCTTCGCTCCGAGATAATCATACAGGGATGAATGGTTTATAGAGATACACGGGGTTGCAAGCCAAATACAGCAAATATGAGGTCCCATGAGTGTTCATTTCATGTAATATATGCATAAGCTAATTTATTACACTGTGACTAATTTCCATTTCTTGTGCAAAGAGTTGCCTCGCTAATTACAGGGATGTTTTCTTAAGTTTGATAATTATGTTTTAAGCTTTATACTGGCAACAGAGCAAATGAGTGAGATCGAATTGTTGAGCACTTCTAGGCAGCTGCACCCAAGTGAGATAGAATCTATGTCAGGCCCTGTCAGGGACAACTTCCTTAATCATAAGCTCCAATATCTTTGATCAACCCAACAGGCTGCAATGGGATGCGGTTTGGAGAAATATTTGATATAACTCCATATAATTAGATTGGCTGGCTTAATTAGAGGCGAGAGATAGAGGGGAATGAAAAAAAAAAAAGTTTGCTTCTAAATGGAAGCTGTCACTTTTGTGGTCGGGCTCTGATGGTTTGGAAGTCTAAACCCAGGAGGTCTTCAAATAAAACAAGCCACCTGCTGATCTTACACGCTCTGCAGTGGATCCACATCCAAATCAGGCCACCGAGAATGCTAGATCCAAAGCATGGTGGCAGAGGCTAAATTCATGCAGGAACCTGACAAAATGATTGAGATAGTGTTTCTAATTTGCTCTGTGCAAACACAGAAAGGACATGAAATGTTAGCTTTGCAGAAGACAGCGCTGGTGCCTGGAGGAAAGGCAGATGATGACTTTATTACCCACATCAGATTAACTATTTCCATGCTGCACACTTGGCCTCTTGTCTAGTGACTTGCTAGGCTCATAAAATAAAAGCAAATGAACAAAATACACAAATAAATACAGTGACAAAACATTTAACCGTTCATGACAGATGGGTTGTCTGGACTGTCGTGATTTAAAGGGGTTAAGAAAGAAATAATTGTAAATTTGAAGCAAAAACATCAAATAATGAACATTTCCACAGCTAAGCTATTTTCCCAAATTGGTTGTTTCGTATCGAAGTTAGTAGTTCTCTTTTTAATTCTTTATATTTTTAGGTTTAGCAAATATACACAGCTATTAAATTATATCTTTGCCTTCATTTCTTTTTGCAGTGCATTGGAGCCTGATAAGAACTGCTGTAAGATCACTTAACCGTTTGCATATTCAGTTATTTGTCTGCTCCCTAACCACATAGAATCACCCCAAATCTAGAAAACGTTTTACCAAATGGCAATGCTGTAAAAACATATCACCCATTTCGCCTGACTTAAGCATGTTTATTCCCTTTAAAATCAAAGGCAAATGCATTAAAGGACCACTCCAAGCATCTTAACAAATGCAGTGTGCTGTAGTGGTTATAGTGCCAGGAGTGCCATGGTTCCCTCAACTTAAGTTTTCAAAACATTTGTGAACTGTTTGATGAAATTGAACTTCCCTCTACACTTAAATCATGCATTTATTTTGTTTATCTATTGTACTGACAGTGAGGATCAATTTAAGAAAACCCCAGGTTTTGAGAGAGGGTATATCCATCGCGCTGCACATCCATCCATTTTTTTTGCATGGTAGTGGCATGCAGTTGATATAGGGGAAAATACATGCCTCAGAACTGTTGGAAATCTCTAACTATTCTATCAATCTCTAGAATGGTTGACGATTGTTGTTTTTTTTCAAAAACAATTTTATTGATTGACTCAGTAAAGTGTATTATTATAGTATAATAACATATGATTAGCAATCCCGACACTGGGGTTGTGGTGAGAGATGAACAGTATAAACAACAAAACTGAGGTGTGGAACGCATAGAGGGAGGGAGAAGCCAATCATAAATTCAAAGAAGGGAGGTCTCCCCAAAGATTGTCAATATTCTTTGCTTGTGGTTGGTGTTCATGTTTGTATCCTTGTTATCTCTCATTGGGAATCTAAGGTTTTGATATTTTGGGACCTCTTTTGGATGAACAGAAGGTTAGGCTTGGTGAATTTCATGTCACAAAGCTTGATTGCTAAGCATTACATTATTATATTAATATAATTAAAGTGAATAGATGGCCTTCTACATTCATACAATTAGTCAGAGAAAAGTTAGCAGTAGACCATAATTATGTTTAACATATATGTTAGAAATATAATCTTTATTGGAGATTGTTATATTGCATCTCATAACACAATCTGTATTCAATGGGAGGTAGCTTAGACCTAGGTTGTAGTAATTGTCAGCATTGTATACGATAAGAGACAGTATATGTCCCATGGTACTTGGATCCCATTCCATTCTACAGTCAAAGGAGATTAAATTATGGTACCGGCTCTATGGTACACTTTCACTCTTACTGTCCTGGAGGAGGGGCAGGCCATCAGGACCTCTTTGATATAATGGCATATGGGTGACGACAGTGTTATATTTGGTGTTAGTAAGAAAGGTTAATTTTCACATGACCATTAGTAATGTGGTGATCCATTGTATACAAAACACTTTTTCTTTTATTTAATTACAGATGACTGGGATTGGGTTTGCAAATGGAAGCGTCATTGGATTACCTACAGGGTATTTCCCTTTTGAATTTCTTTTTTTTTTTTTATTTAAATTTTTCTCTATTTTCAAAAGCGTAAAGGTCATGGGGTACAGAAAAAAGGATCGTTTAGATGTAACATGGTAGGGTATGGTAATACAATTGCACATAGTTAAATACCAATTATAACTCTGTTCGTCCTATTCGGCTGCGTGGGCGACCTTCATTGTGAGGTTCCAGCGTACTGGATATGGTTCTAGAGTGCAAGGTGTTTACAGCTTATCTCGTTTCCATTACGAGGATGTATTACTATGGCAAGGGTGTCCTATAGGGGAGTAAACCTGGATGGGTGGAAGGGTAGTGGGGGAAGGGTGGGGGGGGGAATATTTGTCCTGCCTGGTGATGCTTAATTCGGTCCTTGTGGGTACTCCTATGGTCCTATTTTGGCGGACGGTCCCCTGTATAAGGTTTGTATCCAATTCCTTAGTCTCGGACCAGTCCCCAGGACCTCCAGGACCGTGAAGAGATAGGACCAATCCACCCTGTCGAAGGCCTTTTCAGCATCTATTGCCATGAGCAGTGTCGGTGTGTCTGTTACAGTTGCCCCATGTATGACGTTTAGGATTTTTGTGGTATTGTCCCTGGCTTCGTGTCCAGGCACAAAGCCGGCCTGATCAGGGTGGATTAGTCCCGGTAATAAGGGTTTAAGTCGGTTAGCAATCATTTTCGCCATTAGTTTTAGATCTAGGTTTATCAATGAGATGGGTCTGTAGCTCCCACACTTTGTGGGGTCTTTGCCTGGCTTGGGAATAATAGTGATCGATGCACGCAACATCGGCACTCGCACACGATCCCTGGTGGTCCAGTGGTGACTCTCAAGAGATCGGGGAGTTGCCATGGCAATGCTCCCGATCTCGCGAGAGGAACCCGGCAGAGCTGCAAGTTAGGGTCCTCTCCCTCCCTCCCCAGCCACAGGTCTATTTAAATGGGCCTGTGAGGGAGAGCTTTGATCTCCTCACCGGCCCTCCATGGCAAACAGCGGGGCCGGCGCTCGGATAGTGCCGGCCCTGCATAGACCGGCAGGGGAGATCCTGGGACCTCCCCTGCCGGCCTCGGCCCATGGCCACCAGTGCGCCCGATGGCCAGTCCGGGCCTGATTGTAGCGCAGTTCATGATTATGTAGGCAGGAGTGGTGTGAATGGGGTAGACTGAGGGGGAACTTGAACTTTGTACAGTATGATATGAGGAGTTCATATCTGGAGTGAGTTTGGCGGTCCACTTGTGGGTAACTTTCTCGTTTCCACATGTTGTGTCGGGGCGCCTCTCTGGGGGTGGTGACCAAGGTGGCCTGACCGAGGGCCGGTGGGGGTTCCCTTAGGGTGATTGACAATTTTATGCTATGCCCCCCACTCCTCTAGCTAGTTAGGGAGTGGGGGACAGGTTGTAGGTCTGCATTCACCCTGTAGGCCAGGTCCCTGTGGGCCCTTTTAACTCACTTATAACCGTGCTGCTGGTGTCTGGGGCCAGAGGGGCCTGGTAGCGGCATATTCTACATTCTATAAACATAACATAACATTGGCAATAGGATAGTATAACATCTTAATCTTATACACAGTTTAGTGCAAATTTAAGGCACAGAGTTTAGAATTAACGCAAAGGATATGCTTGTGTGACCATGCCGGTGCTCAGGTTGCTTTGTCTCCGGGCGAGGCATGGGCATCGGTTCCTTTTTGGTTCAGCCTATGTCTCTTCCTCGGGGTTCTCTGCCATTTAGGTCGTTGCTGCGGCTGCTTTGGTGGGGGACCTGACAGGCCGGTCCAGTCCTCCACCTCGTATGGTGGCAGATTTAAGTCCCTCTGGAAGTCGGGTATATCCGCTGGCGTAGTAATGGTGTGAGTCTTATCCTTATAGGTCACTGTTAAAGCAAATGGGAAGTTCCACCTGAACTTGATTTGTCTTTCCATTAGAGCCTGTGTGATAGGTCGTAAGGCCCTTCTTGCCTGCAGAGTGGACGGTGATAAGTCTTGGAACACGGTCACCTGATGGCCGTCGACCGATAGTTCTTTATTTTGGCGGGCTTTATGGAAGATCTCCTCTTTCAGAGGGAAGTTATGTATTCTGCATATAGTGTCTCGTGGCCTGTCTGGGGGTAGATTTCTGGGCCTTGCTGCTCTGTGGGCTCTGTCGAACTGGATGGCTGTTTCTGGGGGTCTGGCTAAAATATGGTTGAAGAAGGTTGTTAGGATCTGTATGGGGTTCTCTGTGGTGCCGTCCGGCCCCTCAGGTATACCTCTTACCCTCAGGTTGTTTCGTCGTCCCCGATTGTCAACATCTTCCAACCTCCTTTGCAGGTGTCTGATCGCTTCAGAGTGTGTCTCTTGTGTAGTGTGGCATTCAGCCCGTTGCCTGTCGGCAGTTTCATTCTCTTCTTCCAAGGCCTGCACTCTATTGCCTAGTTGCTGCACATCTGCGCTCACTGCCTGGAGTTTTTCGCTAAAACTGTCCTCTAGTCTTTAAAACATGGCTGCAAGGTCAGTTTTGGAGGGCAGTTGGGTTAGTATTGCCCTAATATCGGATTCCTCTGCCGAGCATTCCGATGCTGATGGGCTGGACGGCTGGCTGCCTCGTGTGTTTCCCGCGGGTCTGATTGCTCCGTGAAAAATCTCCATAGGGATGTTTTGGCAGCTGGGGAAACCGTCGCTGGGGTGTTCCCCGCATTGCTGCGGTTCTTTTTGGTTGCCATGTGTGCTGTTGGATGCCAGGTATCCCCTATGGATCTCGGTCAAGGACGGAGCTCGGGATTCATGCGTCCATGCACCTCGGTGTCTTGGCCACGCCCCGATACCCCTTTTGAATTTCTTAAACATATTTATAGATAGCAAAAATGCAATAAAGACAACGCAAGCAGCAAGCGACACGCAGACAGGATTATTTACTAACATGATAATTGTCGGGAAAGTGAATTTCACATTTTAGACCAAAATGGCCAATCTGGAAGCTAAGCTGACTTGGAGAATTTTTGCAAAAAACTATTTTAGCCATAAATGTGAAATTCTCCTTGAATTCCCAACAATTCTTGCTTTAGTAAATAACCCTAAAAGAATGCAAACTCTGCACGTATTTACCCAGAATTTACACATTCTGAGTGCTCTAAGATATAAAATTGGGTTACTTCAATATATATAGATGTACCCGTGGGTGTAATATTTTATCTTTGTTAAATTTTAGCAGTAGATATCCAGCTAGTTTTTTCATATACTATAATTAACTTTACCTAGAATGATGTTCCATCTCAACATTACGTGCAAAAACCCAGGGCATTTCATTGTAATATAACCTGTGTCAATAGGTTTTGTTACACTGCATCCATCCTTGTTATGCCAGTGATTCCTAATGACTTATTTCCATATTCATGAAGCTACAATGTCTGCAATGCATATGTAATTGCTATGTAATTTCTATATTGAGGGCTATATACATCAGGTTATTTTACCCAGTCGGTGGGAAAACAATCAATAAATGCTCATACTGGAACAACTGTCTGGGTATTTCCAGCAGTATATTTATATAATGTATACAGCAGGGACGTATTAGCCGTGAGGCAAACAAGGCATTTGCCTTGGGCGGCATTTTTCAGTGGGCGGCGCTGGCTGATGGTCGGTCGGGCGGCTGGCGAGGGAGCTCTTCCCCTGAGCGGTCTGCTCAGCTCCCTCGCGCGCCGCCCGCAGAGTGAGGCTGGGAGCCGGGTTGATGACGTCATATTCCGGCTCCCAGCCTCACTCTGCGGCGCGCGAGGGAGCTGAGCAGACCTCTCAGGGGAAAAGCTCCCTCACCAGCCGCCCGCCCGCCCAGCCCGACAACCACTGGACCCCCAGGGAGGTAATAAACCCCTCCCCTCCCAGCACTCCCAAAGGTAACAAGGCTGAGGGGTTAAATAATAAAAAAATTTTAAAAGTGTTAATGTGAGTGACTGTGTGTGTGTTTGTGTCTGACTGTGTGTGTGTGTGTCCGACTGTGTGTGTGTCTGACTGTGTGTGTGTCTGACTGTGTGTTTGTGTCTGTGTGTGTGTGTTTGTGTCTGACTCTGTGTGTGTCTGACTGTGTGTGTGTGTTTGTGTCTGACTGTGTGTGTGTTTGTGTCTGACTGTGTGTGTGTGTTTGTCTGACTGTGTGTGTGTGTGTCTGACTGTGTGTGTCTGACTGTGTGTGTGTTTGTGTCTGACTGTGTGTGTGTCTGACTGCGTGTGTGTTTGTGTCTGACTGTGTGCGTGTGTTTGTGTCCGGACTGGTGTGTTTCTGTGTCTCACCGTGCGTGCGTCTGACCGTGCGTGTGTTTCAGGTTCGACTGTGTGTGTGTTTGTGTGTGTCTGACTGTGGTAAAAAGTGCCCAAGTCTGACTGTGTGTGTGTCTGACTGTGTGTGTGTGTTTAAAATTGACTGTGTGTGCGTCTGACTGTGTGTGTGTTCCGTGAATCGTGTGTGTGTGTGTGTGTGTATTTGTAGCTGCGGGGAAGGGCTGGGCGGGGAGTGCGTGTAGGATGCCTGAAAGTTTTGTCCCGCTCAGGGCAGCACAAAACCAGATCCACCATCACGGTGTGTGCGTCTGATCAAAGTGTGTGTTTGTGTCTGGACTGTGTTTGTGTGCGTGTCTGACTTCCGGTGTGTGTGTTTGTGTCTGGAACCGTGCTGTGCCCTGACTGTGTGTGTGTGTCTGACTGTGTGTGTTTGTGTCTGACTGTGTAAGTGTGTGTCTGACTGTGTGTGTGCGTGTTCCGACTGTGTGTGTGTGTGTGTCTGACGTGTGTGTGTGTCTGACTGTGTGTGTGTGTCTGTGTGTGTGTGTGTGTCTGACTGTGTGTGTGTTTGTGTCTGACTGTGTGTTTGTGTCTGACTGTGTGTGTGTGTGTTTGTGTCTGACTGTGTGTGTTTGTTTGTTTGTGTGTGTGTGTCTGACTGTGTGTGTGTGTTTGTGTCTGACTGTGTGTGTGTCTGACTGTGTGTGTGTTTGTGTCAGACTGTGTGTGTGTTTGTGTCTGACTGTGTGTGTGTGTGTGTGTCTGATTGTGTATGTGTCTGACTGTGTATGTGTCTGACTGTGTGTGTGTGTCTGACTGTGTGTGTATGTGTGTATTTAGAAGGTGGGGGAAGGGTTGGGTGGGGAGGGTCCGGAGTGCGGGGGGCGCCTGAGTTTTGTCCTGCCCAGGGCAGCACAAAACCAGGATACACCACTGGTATACAGGCATATACATTTACTGTAGGGTTTACATTCCCTATATCTCTTGATATGTGTATACCAGCTATATAGGCTTAAATTACAACTTTCACTTTTCTACAAATTACACTGTTTTATAAACCATTTAAAATAACCCATACCTTTTCTGGACCTTTTTCATATTTTATTCTTTACTAATTTTACAAAAAAAAAAGCAACAAGAAAAAAAGTTTATAAAAAGAGAACATTGCATAGTGGAACAAAGTCTGCCACCTTCATAAGTATAATTAATACATTATACACCCATAAACAGAAACAAAATGTTTTTTCAAATTTCTCGTACAGTTACCCATAATGTATACATAAAAATATTATACATGACAGTCCATACTAAGAATAGGAGCATAACCTTTTTCCTTAGAAGGGAAAAAGCCTATTATCAGTCACAAGGAATACATTTTGGGGCCCCTAACACAGCTCAAGGTCTGGGCCCCTGGGGGCCCGCCTCCAACTCCCACCCAAGGGCCTGCCTCCAAATCCCATCCCAGGGCCTGCTTCCAAATCCCGCCCACAGGAATACACACACACAGACCCAAACACACGCACTGATACAAAAAGGACAGATACACACACACACACACACACAAAGATACACACATACTGACACAGACACATACTGAATCAGAGATACACACATACAGGCATACATACTGACACACAGATACTGAAACAAATAGAATTTATTTTTGTTGATTGCATATACAATTTTTTTAATTATTCTAATTAAAAATTAGATTTTTTTGTTGTTGCTATAATTATGTGTTGATTCCTCTTTATACTTTGTGTTATTAAAAAAAAATGTCAGTAAGAACCCACTTTAACCGATGTAAGATTCTATCTCAGAAGCTGGACCAGTTTTCAAATGACTTCAATAAAGGCTCACTCGGCTTCAAAGATTAATTCTTACACAAGAGATCTTAACTTGGAGGTCATCATTCTGCTCACTTTATATTCCCAGATGAGTCACCATTTCCTTCTATATGGATTCATCGAGGCAACGTTGCATCTTCCTAGGTAGCTAGTACAGCCTTGAGTTTTGTTTGTGTATGATGTGGCAATCTGTGCACTCCTGGATTTGGATAGTTTCTGCCATCATCTCTGCAGATCCTCTCAAGCTCTGTCAGGCTGGATTGAACTGTTAGTAGACAGACATTTTCAGTTCTACCCAATCCTGGCTATGACAGGGCCACTCAAGGACATTGACAGAGTTGTCCCTTAGCCACTCTTATGTTGTCTTGGTTGTGTGCTTAGTGCATTGTACTGTTGAAAGGTGAACCATCAGCCCCATCTAAGGTCCTTCACACTCTGGACCACGTTTTCAGTATGGAAATCTCCATATTTTGTTCCTCAAACATGACCATCCTCCCAGTCTTTGCTGCTGAAAAAATCCTGCCAAAGCATGATGATGAGCGGTGCCTGTTTCTTCTAGACATGATGCTTTAAATTGATGCCAAACACTCTTAATTTCATCAGACCAGAGAATCTTGTTTTTGTTATGTGTACTACCTGAATAGCAAGACTTGGTAATTTGCATATTCTGGTAGATTTGTATATTATCGTTTCTGCAGACAGGGGATATATTTCATGTTAGTTATTGTCTTCCCTATCACTGTAATAAATATATTGCTGTTTTATTATGATTGCCTGTATTATTCCCAATACGGTTATGTTTTGTTTTCTACATTTATACCTATAGCTTCCTACATGTTCTCTTTTGCAGAATTCTAAGTGAATTTAAAATTTAAGACCAAAATAGCCAAGCTGTAAAACTTCTCCAAGTCATCTACACTTCAAGTTTAACTAATTTGACCTTACATTTGAAATTCACCTTGAATTTATCTTGAATTTCAAACAATTCTAGAAATCAGCTGAGTTTTCAAGTTGGTTACTCTGCCTTATATTTGAATTCACTTTGAAATTTACCTTTTCTCTCTTTTTCATGTATTGTTTGGTATATAGTTTTTATGTATTTTCTTTGCAACATATTAAAATATAGTCTTTTTTTTTTTGCAATAATCCACTAAATGTTTCTATCATTTATGTTGTTTTTTGTTTTGTTTTTTTTAAAATTTTGATTAAGAAAAATGCTTTAAATGTTTTAATTTTTTTTAAGGGGGGAGGAGGGGCTCGGCTTCATGTCGGCAGGACGCATCTCAAAAGTGCTCTTTAGCTACTGATTGAATCCTGCCCATTTTTGATCTTGGGTATATACCTCCAGCTCCCCTTTTAGACTTACCTACTCTCTGAACCCAATGGGGTGTACCAGACAAACCATGAAGCACTAACTGTCTGTTTCTGCTGAAGCTCCAGACAAGGCCTAAGGAAAACGTTACCTGGGATGGTGGGGGATATTCTGGTCCTCTGTGCGTCAATCTACATACCTTTTGTGTGGCTTGCAGAGCGCCTCACCTGGCTTTTGCTACAAAACTACCAAGCAGATCTTGCCAAGATGGCAGACACAATCTTCCCTCATGCACACCACCTGTCCCCACTCAATACAGTAAAACTGCAAAAACTTTACATTTTAGAGTGGCCTTTTATTGTGGCCAGCCTAAGGCACACCTGTGCAATAATCATGCTGTCTAATCTAATCAGCATCTTGATATTCCACACCAGTGAGGTGAATGGATTATCTCTGCAAAGGAGAAGTGCTCACTAACACAGATTTAGACAGATTTCCAAACAATATTTGAGAGAAATAGGCCTTTTGTGTACATAGAAAAAGTCTTAGATCTTTGAGTTCAGTTTATGAAAAATGGGGGCAAAAACAAAAGTGTTGCGTTTATAATTTTATGTTAAGTCCCTTAACATTTCTCACAACAGCCCTCCCTCTGGTCACACCTCCACTCACAACCCAAAATTTAAAGTGTCCCTCTTTTGCCATTTGAAAAGTTGGGAGATAAGTCCAGGTAGCAGTGTGTCATCTGTCCCATAGGCTGACATTATAAGAGGTAAAGTCTTCTGGCAAAGGTACTAGGTACCAGAGTTATGAAGTAGTCCGTGTCAAATTTTTACCATTTCCCTGGGACTTACAAAGCAGATGAGTTCAGTCATGTAGTCCAGGATAAACTCATGATTGACATTATGGTAGAAGACTCTCCTGTACCTGTGATTACTTTGTCCAAAGAAAACGATAGCTTAAAGATGAACTAGAAATGAATAATTATATTCAAGATCACTTTTTCCCACTTTTTGTGCCATAAGGATGTGCAATGCTTTATTAACCACATTTTGTGGAAAGGTTCTCCAGGTTACATGTTCACATGGTGGCTTCAAATGTGAGTCAGTTTTCTGCAAAACAGAACATTTTCATGTAGGAAGCCTGGGCTATTGTGTTCAAGTACAATCACTCATTATCTTCTCAAGTACATATGTTCGGATGGATATCATTGTACAAATCCATTACGGGCAGTTATTTGTCACAATATCGAGGTAGCTGGATTGATGAATATAAATGGCTATTTGTGGAACATTAAAGTGGACATGCCACGTAAATGAAAAAAAATAAATAGAGCATAAAACCTGTTAATATGTTAACAATTTAAACCAGTTCAGTAATTTTGACAATGTTTTAAGTAAAGTTTGTTTAGAAGGACGCTCCAGGCTAATATTTAATAATTTGCAACACTGAAACAATCTTGAATAATTACGGATTTTTTTCGTGCATATTAGTATAGTAAATTTGTAAAACTAGGAGAATTTTATTTTTTTATTATAGATTTTTATTTATGTATCATATAGACAGATATACAGCACAATATATACATGGTCCATAGTTGTATCTTGTTACTGCAGCATTGGTAACATGTAGAACAAAGGCATATACAGTGCATTGCATGTCATCAACATATGTCAGTGAATGTCTGATAACAGTGCTTATTTCTAATATGCCAGACAATGGGGATAGTTGAGTAGGTGAGGTGAGATTGAAACTCCCTTATTATTAAATGTGGTGGGAAAAAACTTGTTTACGTGTTTACTTCCTTAGTTGGTGATATGGGAAGTCTTGTGTTCCATAAGTGAAACAAGAAAAACTCACAGGCACTTCAAATGTGAAGCCGCAGGCAGATTTATTGCAACGAAATGCACAGCAACGTTTCGACAAAGACCTCTAGTCAGTTCGAAACGTTGCTGTGCATTTCGTTGCAATAAATCTGCCTGCGGCTTCACATTTGGAGTGCCTGTGAGCTTTTCTTGTTTGCCTTATCATGGTGGGATTGCTGGTCCTGCTCCAGAGCACCCGTGGCCGGTGGGAGTGAGTGCGGTTCCCGCTATCTACCTTGCTATATTGTGTTCCATAAGTGTCTTACTTATAGTCAAGTTTGCTAGATGCTGTGAACCTAGGTACTCATCGTATGGGTATGATAGGGATGAAGTTGGAAGAAATATTTTTTCTCCAACCGTTACTCTGGGTTTCCTCATATCCAATACATTGTGAACAAATGAAGCGTCAAAACTGGCTTAAAATTATTAGCCATTTCCCGGAAAAGCTGCGGTTGCAGCAAACAATGATCAATTAGTAGTGTTTTTCTTGATATAATATTTCCATTCTAGAGTGTCTTTTAAACAGAAGTGGCATAAAAGTTTAATAATAAAAAACAGGACCTCTTACACATTAGGCAATAAAGGAAAATGTTAAAATGTAAGGTTTTATTACAAATCAATTGCTAACTAATCAATTGCTAACTAATCAATTGTGCTAGTATTTGTAAAAATCCAAATGAATCTTATTTTATAATTTACATTGTTCATCTCAGAAAAGAAACATGGGAACAAGAATACTAATTGTGTCTGTCTTTTTTCTTTTTTTTTTAATCATCCTGTGAGTGATAACTGCTGGAAGATCTATGAGGAGATCCATATGCTGAAATGCCACTATGGTCAATGTAGAAGATGGTACAGTCAGGAGCATCAGAGGAGTACAACCAGTATGGCTGTAAGAAAACCGGGCCCTATATTTCTAATGGGAAAATATATATATAGCAAGTGGTGTCTAGGATAATGATAATGCTTTGTAGACTTCATCTTCCCTCTCCGGCAGTCCTCTTCCCCGGCTGTCAGGTGAGGCATGCATGCTGGTGCTTGCCAGAGAAGGAGAGGACATGCCGGAGGGGAAATCTGGAATTCTCTGGGTTTCCAGTGCCACTGGACCACCAGGGAATCTAGTGTCTACCTCCATGGCCACAGGTAAGAGGCAGGGATAGGGAATAAACATCAAAAATTTAAATGAAACTGCCTACTCCCCACAATACACTGTCCATGCTCTTCCTACCTTAAAAAAGTTACATACACATTCCATCCACTACACACACACTGCATCCATTAAACACACACACACACACACACACACACACACACTGCATCCATATGCTGCATCCACACTGCATTGCTACACTACATCCACTACACACACGCACACACTGCATCAACTACACACTATATTCACTACACATACATACACTCTCTGAATGCACTAGAAATAACACAAATACTCTGCATCGACTACATCCACTACACACTCTGCATCCACTATACACACTGCATATGGACAGACTTGGGGGCAGGCCCTCAGGGACCCAGGTCTCTTGAGCTGTGCAAGGATAAAGGGCTAATGGTTAGTGTACGAATGGTAAAAGATTAAAGGTTAATGATAGAGTAGAGGTTACATGTTTAGTGTTGGGGTATTGTAATAGTAAAATAATATAATGTAAAATGTTGTTGGACTTTGTAGGCTAGAAATGCAAAACAAATATTAATTCATTTGAAAAGCTTCTCTAAAATATTAAATCAAGGTCATAATTGTCAATTAATGGTAATTTGATGAATGTTTTGTATATAATGGACAATTGTTGGTAAGCCATTGAATGTTCTTATATAGTGGACATTGTATTCAGGTATTTATGGGCTTTGCCCAATAAATTAATGCAATCAATGCTTTTTTTGAGAATTAAAACAGCATAGAAAAATATTTTACTACCAATCAAATAATGGATCTCTTGTGGAAAATCTATGAATGAATTCGGGAACATTGAGGACTTCATGCATTCCACATTTTCTACAGAATCCCATGGAACATTTACTACACCCTGGGACCGTGAGTTGAGACATGCAGATGAACACCTGGCTCTCCCTTGCTACTGAAGGGGTTGCGGTCAGTAATATACTTAGTAAAGCAAAGTGTGTATAGATGTAACTGGGATACAAACAAAAAGATAGCTGTGTTGCTTTTGTAAGACAACAATAAGCCCAGAAACCCCAGAGTTCTTATTGCACAAGCAGCAACGCATGTGGATAGTGAGAGATGTAACTTTGGGAAATACAAGTTTATAAAGTATAATAGAGGATGAGCGCTCTGCTAAGTTTACCAGGACCATTTATAGAAAAGTTATCCTGCATTTTTTCATTGGTTTTACAAACAACAACAAACTTAAAAAAATAAAATAAGCAAGGTCCACATAATTATATTATTTGTGTCTATTATACAAGAAACATGGACAAAATTAAGATTTTTGTCCAATAAATAGGAAAATCAGTTGACCAATAATTGTCCTTTATATAACAAAAATGTATATTATAAGCAATTCTTTAATATTTTCCATCGCCTTCGCCAGGATTTCACAATTTTTAAATTGTAAAAAATTAAGTTCTGAAAATCTTGATGAGCATCATTAGAAGGGTACACTGTCATTGACTATGAAATAAGCAGTACCAAGCATTCACTGACAGAGTTACTTCATGTACTAAGAACTTACTGCCTTATATTATAGCATATTTTTGGAAAACTTTACCTTAATAAACTCATCAGAATCAGATAACTCAATAGCCTTCATTTGTTTTATTGTGTTAGTGTTATTTGACTGGTTATCAGGAAGCTGAGAGCACAAGGAAGACAAAGGTTAAAATGATAAACAGAATGGATTACTCGCTTTTCTACTAGTAAAGTTGAAGAAAGTTAGGGGGATTTCCTGTTTGTATTATAATTTTTGATATTATTTTCATGTAGTGATTGCTTGAATCAACTTATTATGTTTTTGTTAAACATTTAGCCAAACGGATAGTCAGAAAGGGTCAGGATTACTACATGATCCAGCACGTAGAACTGTTTCACACAGATGACTAATAGGCGACGTATTACCGGGCCTTAGAATGGCCGGACTAAGGTACCAAAGAATAGTCAGGATACTAGCCGAGGTCAGGGGACACAGAAAGGGACTCAACGATAAAGAAAGCCAGAGGTCAGGGATACCAGAATACAGGGAAGTCAAAATCAAAGCCAAAGTCAAAAACAGAAAAAACAGAAGGAACGCACTCTCGGACAACCACTAGGGAAACCACGACAGGGCAATGAGGAAAGGTAATTTTGAGTTTAAATACCTGTTTTACCTTTCTGATTGGCCGAGATCGGTCTTTGACCCCAAAACGTGCTTCTGCACCTTCCCCGTGAAGTTACGTGCACGCCGACGTCGTCAACAAGGCACGGTGCCTGTACGCTATGTATCATTCTGATGTCAATTACAATGTTGAATGTGGCCGTACTCCGACCTTTTATTACAAATCACTCATGCACATTTTGGGAGCAGGAATGGCGCAAACCAAGTAACAGGCGATGCACTCTATTAAAGCACCACAAAGGCATGAATGCATTGCTCTGTTATAGTCTCTAGCATTCCAAATAGAATGTTTCTATCTTTCAGTAATTATTTGGCATTTGATATAGCTTGTCTTGACTGCTCTATCCTTTGGCTCCCCTTGATTCGGCAGTACGCATGTGTGTGTGCATATCTATGGGTGTGTGTATGTAAATGCACATGTTTATGAGTGCGTCTATCCATAAGTGTGTGTGTACTAGAGATAACTTATTTTTATTGTGGTACATGTAATGGATGTAAAGGTCCTGTCATGCTTTTTGAAACTTTCTCTTTTTAAAGAGCATACAATTCTTTCTAAACATTGTGAGATAAACCTATTTAACAAGAAGTTATTCTCCCAACTGTCAATCAATTATTTGGCAAAGATTCAGGGTTGAAGAATTGAGTGACAGGGAGAGCAGATGCCCCTTCCACATGTGGTCCTTCTGCTCCCAAAGCAAGTCAACCATATATGTCACTCTGTTCAGATGCAATAAAGCCTGGGTGTCAGCATTTCAGAAGAGATATTCTGGAGGGGGAAACTGGAGTCACCTGGGTCCCCTTTTCAATATCATAGACAGCAAGTTGCACTCTGCCACCAACATAAGCTGTTCCCAAGCAGGGCAAAGCGAAGAAGACAGAAGGCAGAGTGCCGGTTGACTGGGGTGGGTGTTACACCCATGTCTGGCGAGGACATGGTGGCTCTGGAGCAGAGGTGAGGTGAGGATATGACAGGTTTACTTTAATTAACATAGAACTACATTTCCAAACCTACAAGTAAATATGCAAGTAAAGTGTATTTTATGCATGGGATCATTAAATATGTACATCAGTTGTGTCAAG